ATATAGGTTAAAAACCAAGTGCGAGGTCTTCCATTGAAATTCAAGACCGAGGGCCGAAGGCCCGAGGTCTTGAATTTCAATGGAAGACCGAGCACGTGGTTTTTAAGTTGTTTACTGATCTATCACACCCATTTTCTATTATTTTCAAGAGGTTTTGGACTTCTTTCAACTGGTATATCTATGAAATAATCTTAAAATGAGCGTAGTGAATGAATTGTTTTTTATAAAGAGATCAATCTTTGCAATCGATTTGATGTTTATTTGTGGTATTCAAAAAGTTGTCCCTTAGCCACTCTCTTGGGAATGATTAAAAGTATAAGCAACCCTTTTAACAAAACAAGGTCAATGGAAAGTAATATCTTTTAGGATTTCTTGAAAGTTATCTTTTATGATCTGTGCATAAAAGCTTTTTCGCTCAGTCGAAGTATATATAGAGTTTTCAAATCGCACAAAACCGATCTATAACTGGAAAACCGAGAAATTAACCGGTGGTTTAGCTAAATGGGTATTATTATTGATTTACGCCAATGCACAAATTATTTAAATCTTAGAATTTAAAGTTACACTTGATTGAGCTTCATTGTGAGTTGGATGAGTGAATGAAAGCATACTGCATAAAGTCAAATTGATTGAGCATTGTTTAACAGCGTTATTTAAACTGCGTGGCTCAGTCTTGCACATCCGTTTACTTCGCAAATCGTTTGCAATGGACTCGGAAGACGATTCAGACATCTTTATAACTCCTTCGACTTTTAGAAGTCCACAAGGTCAAGATCCTAATTTCAATATTGAATCGTTTTTCGGGCATGAATTGTTAAGTGAGCCAAATTCCTTTAACGCACCACCAAATGAAGTACCTGCAGAATCTTCTACTGAGAGTCGGTTTGCCGAGCCTTTGTCACACGAAAATGGTAAAGACTAAATTGCTAAATCCGTTCCAAAGAACACTACCTATAAAGATAATTGGGAAGTCAATCTGTTCGAAACATGGAGACAGGAAAGAAACAGGAAAGTCGGAACTAGTGCCAGCCAGGAAATTTTGGACAACTCACTAGAAAATATGACCGACGAAGAATTAAATCAAACCTTGGCCTTATTCATTTGCAAAGTGCGAAAGACAACTTTGTATTAAAGTGATTGAGCTAAGGAATTAAAACTGCAGAATGCAATCTTCTCCTTCATCAGTGATCTCCAGGTACCAGGTTTTGAAAATCGATTTCAAGACTTGTTTCAGGTCTTGATTTTTATTTTCAAGACTTGGTTCAAGCTTTAGTCAGCCTCAATCTCCCCTGATGATAATCAATGCCGCCCCCAGCTTTTAGAATGCGGGTTTTACCTAAAATACCAAAACCGATTGAAAACAATAGAAAATGGGTGTGGTAGGTCAGTAAAATTCCCACAGACCTAGAGTTTAAGGCCTCTGGAAATACAAGAAGCTTAGCCTCAAATGAATGCGTGTTTTCTTTTGTTTTTGGAAATATCTTTGGACTGTTTTCAACTAAAACAGGGTCCCGCTTGAACGCGAAAAGGCTCAGTTACACCTCAGTCAGTCAAGGTACAAAAAAAGACATCTTTTTTAGGAACGACTAACTTGARCAGATCAGCTTCTGGAGCCAAACCAAAAATGGTACATATAAGATCTTAACCTCATATGAAATTAAAAAAGGGGTCTCACCAAAATCTTAAAAAACAAACCTAGTCCGCCAAGAAAAATCGTTCAAATCCGCAAGAAAATTTGCTTAAGTTTACCAGTTCATCCCGCATTTTTTAAACGATCCGTACATACGCCGTTAAAGTATCCCAAATCTTTGCAAAGTTGACCYTCGAAAACTTTAATATATAAAAATTATACAGGAATGATCACAACTACAAACCTCAACCAAATTTTTTTTAAAAAAATTGACAACTTACATTGGATCTCGGCTTCCTGATATCTATAAGAAGAAGCGGCCTCACTAATATCACGCAGAAATTGCACAAAATTGTCAAAAACAAACCTCGGCAAGATCTCTTCAACAAGCTTGAATTGCTTCAGCCCTTTTGAAATTTTTTACCATGAGTACACTAGCACATTCTGAATTCGGATTGATATAACCATTTTCAAATACTGGCCATGCAGGCCATCCCGTAATGCAAAACACCTCGAGGAAACATGCCTGCGATGAGTAGACTTGGCAGCGCCTATTATTGTTATTATTATAATAGTCCACAAAATATGATAATTYCAATAAATGTCACGAGATTAGTATTCTCATGCGTCAGAATGATGAGATCAGTGATCTTAACAAATTCTGCTTTTCAAAGCAAYCCATTTTTGATAGCTAATAGTAAATAGTAAATGTTTATGTGCAACAACGTCTCAGTTAGAGTGATTTTCATCGGACTGTGAAATAGTTCCTACGCTAATAGACGCTAGTAGACTCTACACCCATTGCTTTCTTTTATTGTAAYACAACTATTAGACAYTATTAAACACTGACTAGTAGTAATTGTTTTACAGAAGGATGAAAATGACTCTATTAACATTATCGCGCGACTTCTTTGCAAATTGATCAGTTGATAAGAAGTGCCATATTGAAAACTCACACTCATTTCTYGCAGTCCGGTAGAGATGGTATATCTTATATCTTTTTAATTTAAGGGCATTATATCGCCGTGAAGTTGCCGTTACATTTCATCAAGCACGTTCGAAATCGCCGATACAACCGAAGGGATCTGTTYATACGTTGCRCGAAAGCGACATTTAATCGCGCTGCAARAATCGGAAAGTGTAGCCTTTACAAATACCAGATGTTTATAGACACCAAAGATCCTGCTTGCTGTATGTGCTATAGTGCCAACTTGTGCTAATTCCTTTTGTGTCCCCTAATTAACGCTATTCAGTAGCAATTCACAATATTGCAAAGGCTAATTGCTTGTACTTTACTTTTTTTGAATAGAACCAGACTATNGCGTGCATTATTATTTAGTTTCAAAGAATGGATCATTAGTGCATAAATTACAATGTATTTACGACCCTGTCAATTTTTCATATGAAATATCCAAATCAGTCCTGGATCTGCCCCTGGCTTTACATATGTCAACCAAAAACCTCTGTGAAAGAATGTCATCCAACTTACATCGTAGAAAATGCTTAATTTATTTTCCCGTTCTCTATTTAGTAGCTTTATCCAGTTGAATCACTAAAGGTGACGCGACAAAGTTGCCTTTTCGATGTACACACTGGAAATCTCAACACAACTTATCGGAACACAAAACTGATGTGACTTTAAACTCAAAGATAATACAGAGCTCATTGAGAACGAATGTAATCTCAATGAAGCGGAACGCCGCTAATGCGAATACAAACGTTTCCAGGGCCATCTCGGGAGGTAACCATGATGTCTTTGCCTTGAAGCAAGAAAGCTGATGAGCTTGCATTGATACATTGTTTTTATCTAAGATTCTCAGTTACTGGAAAGTGTTACTGCAAGCTAACAGGTCAGCTACCACCATCAGAACGAAGCTTGTGATTGATCGAGAACACAAAAACAAATATTTGTAAGATTATGCCAGACAATGCCTATTGTTCTACTGGACATCTTCATTTTTGTATTGCCTGTCTCTCTTTGTTATTTCATCAAATCACAATCTTTATTCTAACAGCGGTGTATAACCCGGGCTAACTTATACCCTTCTCGTTCGCCTTGCTTCGAGGTACGGCTACCTTTTAAGATAACGCTGGGGGCTGGGTAAACAGAGTATTATGGTCCCGAAAGTGACGGCAACGATGAATGCCTATTGCTGTGGTTTTGTAGCGTTATATACATCAAATGATGGCAGCCATGTTGGTTACTTCATGTCTTGTTTAAGTATGTAACCCTRTCCACGAAGCAGAAGCTGTAAAGGCTAAGCCAAGGTCGAAAACAACTTTGCYTTGCCCAATTKGAGGTCACTGYCCAATAAGTCAGTTACCAAGTCTTTGCCGCAAAATTTTGTCGTGAGGGTCAAGATCGAAGTGACTTGAAACAAAGTCGTCCAGTACATTATATTTGTCGAGCAAGGAGTGTRATCAACAATTCTTTATATAAAAATAGTTCATTTCAATCTTTAAAATAGGTGCTCTCTTAACATGTATTTGTAGTCCATTTTAATTTATAAACCCACAAAATGTCGTCTTCCCTCAAAGCGTCATGTATGAGAGGCGACCGAAATAACCCTGGGAACGATAAAGCCATTTTGTTCCAAGAAGCACTGTGGTTAACAGTCCSATGCTATGAGCGTTCACAATTGTCTACTGATGAGAAATTGCCTTTCTTGAAATTTGTGAAATGTCCGTAGCTAATTGTTTCTTCTCTAATGTCATTTTCTGCATGTATAAACGGCTTACAACTTTACGTTGCGAGTAAACTACTGTTTTTGTTTCTTAAAGCCGGCGAGCGATCTATTTGGTCCTATTTGTCATCAATGTTTAAAGCACTTTTAAGTCGTCTTGCAGTGTCAACTACATCAAACAGATGCTTTGCATCTACAGCTAGCACGTGACCTGCTGATAGCATACCCCTTCTGTATTCTTGATCTAATGTTGTTGTGCTGTATTTTTGAGCAAGTTTCATCGCATTAATTAGCTCCGCCATGTCCGCTGATAACACTTTGTGCGCCATTTCAATCTGAAATTATTGCCATATATTATTCACTGGAACTTGGTGAAGCAAGGATCATAACGAGAAATACTCCAGTTTCGAATTCTTTTTTGTACAAGCCGAGCTTTGATAAAGCATAAATTTTCATTGTTTTCTTTGTACTATTAGTTTTTGCATTACGATAGGATCTCTGCTGAGTAAAAGAAAATATTACATGCTTTCGAGATTTAAGTCCCAGCGTGCACCTTATGCTTTGGGGGCCGCAAGGGCCTGGAGGCGGCCATTTTCAGTTTACCGAAAGTCTATAAATTGTACTGTGCGTTTCGAATCTTTGACCATCTAACTTTTCTAAGCACTTTAAACGCTAATATAAGAGCTTTCAACCATCTGACATTCGTTTAATGGTGATATTTGGATACTAGAAGTATTTTGGTGTAAATCATAACAATAACAGAGGCGTGCAAAGCTTAATGCTGCAAAACTGGGCTTTTAAGGCTGAACAAATAAGATCTCGAAAGTGGAGTATTAATCACGGAGCAATACCGAACACTGTTGGATCATTAAACAGATTTTTGGAGGCCTAACAAAGCACCAACACCGGCAGCAACAACAACAACAACCACGGCGACAACAACAACAACAACAACAACCACGGCGACAACAACGACATGATAGTTTGATGATACYAAACGGCACCACGAGAGACTGGATATAGGAAAATTGTATAAACCGAGTGTAATACCAACCTCTTTGTGAGAGTTAGCTGGAAGATCATGAATTTCGTTATCGACCTCTGAAAGAAGACCCCTCAATGCTACTCCGATACTCTGGTGAGAAACAAATATGTCACCGTAAATAAGTTTCAAAAAAGTCGATTTCTTCTCAAACTTTCTATACAAAACCCTTACTAACTGGAAAAGTCCAGCTAATTTCTGACTGATGATAATTGGTGCAAAACAATAGACTATTGTTTTCTTAGGGGCTGTGTCAAATACATTTATCAATCTCAGAATAAGCTTAATTCTACGAAATCAGTCCTTTAATTGGCTATCTATGTCGATTTGTTTGTTGTTTACCTTGACGAACTTCGGGTATTCCTCACATCTCGAGTACGGTAGCCCAGTATTAAGATCGATTACTGACTGAACAACGGATGTTGTATTAAGAAATACTTTATCACTTGACCTATCTTCATTCGTGTCGCGTGGTTTATTGGGAGTTCTTTTCTTGGATTCTTGACCATTACCTGTGACGTCTTCACCAATAGTTGCCGCTTGAGGAATCACTGCTCTACTTGATGTACCATGATCTACAAAAAAGAATGTACATTAGAGAATGTAGAATATATGTGATGGTTGTGTAAAGAAGATAAGTTTAACACCGTAAAAAAGTATGGGAAATAACTTACTGACGTTTCGGATGTTAATCCTTCGTCGGAGTAATCGGATGTTAATCCTCCGACGAAGGATTAACATCCGAAACGTCAGTAAGTTATTTCCCDTAYYYTTTTACGGTGTTAAACTTATCTTCTTTACACAACTGTTTCTTTAGAAACACYGACGCAGCTCACACTAGTTTACCGCTAGTTCCCACCATATATGTGATGAATTTATTTCAAAAACATTAAAACTTAATGATTTTATGAAGGGTCTAATGATTTTATTCTTTTCAGCCTATTGTTATGCTTAATTAGTTATCGGTATTAAATAATGTAAACTTGCAGGAGACTAAAAAACAATGTCCTGATGATGCTGTAGAACAGCGAAAGCTCGACTCCATACAAAGTGTATTTACCATCTAACAGCAGTATCTGGCCGCATTTGCAATTCTATTAAAAAAATATGAATTCAAAGTGACTAAGCCTTTGCATTCACGTGAGAGGGTTGGTTGTTTAAGCAAAACAACCCGCACAAAACTGACTTACATTCTTTAGACAGGTTCCCTTGTTTGACAATTGAGGCCACGCCCTGAGGGTTATACGACTCCACGGTAGACGACAGCACCTCGTCTGGAGATGGAAGCTGCTGTGATGCACTCTTTGGTGACAACTAGGAAACAAGGATCATAAATTTGTCAAATAAAACCATATGCCAATGTGAACGCATTTTGCAGCACATGCAGTCAGCTCACGGAATAATTTGTGCAAGGATTTCACTAAAGGGACATTTGGTGCTATCACAATCGACTTGTTGGTATTTTAATGTCTTTACGAGAAGAATTTTAAGACGAATTAGCCCAAATTGCGCTAGTATAAACAACTTCAATAACAATAAATAAAGGTCACAAACTCTGTCAAATAGCTGTTATACTGTACACTTCAGCAGTCAATGATTCAAATGACTGACAATACTTTACTTCCGCCTTCAGATTCAATTTTGTGAATTTCAAGGCCGATGCTTACATGAGGTCAATGATCTAAACGACAAATTATCCTTCAAACTACTAGAAAGTAACACCAAACAACCAGAAAAAATTCATACAAATGTATACAAATTCATACAAAGATACAAGTGTCTTATAGCATGGGATTTTACGGGACATCCTTCGAAAACCTTTGTGTCAAACCATAATTGTGTCAAGCACTTCTTTGAAACTTTTGTAGCTTCAAACTAATCATACGGTCAATTCAAAGCCAAATAGACTTCACTTAAAGAGGACAGACATTTCGTAGTGCGATAAACTGATACACTAGAGGTCCTACGTTATGTAAAATGATGTGTGGTTTAATAGAATAAATGCCATTAATGATGAACTGATGGTGTAGGCCAATATATACCCTGTGGTCTACATATGAGTATATACTATGGGATGGACTATAATGTGCAAGTAGCTATGTGCTAAAATACTAGGCCATGATAGACGGTACTACAAGCTGTATGTGCTGACAAGTGTGCATATTGTCAAACCGTACCACGGGCGATCGAGGTAGTTCTATATTCATCTCCTCCTGTTCAAGCCATTTACCATCAGCCACGGAATCAAGTCGTTGTTGTGTTAGTCTTTTATTGATGATCTGTTGTTCTAATTGTTCCATTTCTTTTCTTTCTTCTTCTTCTATTCGGGCTTGATCTTCGGCAGTCTAATGAAGTATGAGCCGTATTTGTTTAAGGGGACGATTTTGCATAATTGTGTTTGTATGAGTGGACGCACAGAAATGTTTTCAATCAGTTTTTTCAATAAACAAGACCCTGGCGCGAAAGTCTAAGGGCTATTTACCACGGTCCATAGGGAACGCTCACTATACGTAAGAATTGTACAACACAAAAAAATGTACAAAATATGTTAATTTGAGGTTTTGCGACTACACATGCTAATATAATTACGGTGTTGCAATGTTTGTGATATTGCATATGCACTATATATCGTCTATCACACTTGCATAAAACAAATAAGTCCTAGTGCTACACAAAAGTGACACTTTAACATGTTGAATTTACGAAGAAATGGCATACAAACATAACTGTTCAGTACAGATAGATTTACCATCATTGTTTAGTCTAGTAACGTTAAGGCCGATTTACAGGGTGCGATTGTCGTGTGCGACTTAAATACTATACGATTTTCCTAAGGACAAATTGTAGGATTTTAAGCCGTGGTTCAAACCCTACTATACAAGTCGTAGGTTGCGTACGACTGTTGTAGGCAAGTTGTGGAGCATTTACACGGCGCGATCTGGAGCTCATTTGAGTGGTATACAAAAATTCGCACGCAATAATCGTACCGTGTAAATCGGCCTTTAAATACTATCTTGCGATTTGGTACAATGTGATCAACTCAGTCTTTATTGCGAATCCATTATAACATATAACTCTGTATCAAACTAGATTTTCTACCACACAATAACACTGTATGTTAAACTACATGTTAGTCGATGAGTACAACTACAAGCAGAGACAAGTAGAAATATGATGACGATGAATTATAAGTGTTAGAGATAATGATCACAATGAGAAAATGAAAACGCATAAAAACGATGATGACGGATACGAACGACGTAATACAACCAACAGAATAAATGATAGCTAATGACCATATTATGTTAGTGATGATAATGAGGATACTGAAATGATGATGATTAGAAATGATTAGAAACGACGATGTGCAGTAAACTCACCGGTAATGTCATTCCTGTTGGTGACGTCACATCTGTAGGACTAGCAATCGGACTCAAAGGCTTATAATTTCGAGGCAAAGTGTTGCTACCGCTAACAGAATGCCGTGAGGGTTGTTGATATGATAATGATCGTATTCCGCTAGATTCGTGGAACGATTTGTGAGATCGTGGTAAGGTGTGACTATTTGGTGAAGTAGGTGAGCGTGGTGAGGAAGGTGATCTGGGTGATCCTGATTCTTGCCGTAGATAAGGATAACCTAGAAAGACGTAAGTCCCGTTAATATAATCTGGTTATACAGTTACAACCTTTTATGATACGCTAAAAAGGAAACAAGATGCTACTATATATAATTGTTCTTAACCACACTTTGTAATCATTTACCACAACTTTCGCCAATAACCATGAAATCAAGATGTGGCCCATATTGGTAACACTGACAAACTCAGAGTTTGATGAATTTTGTCGAATAGGCCTTTTTCCAGTTCAATAAATAAATAAATAAAATAAATAAATCGACTTTATTTTTAAGAGGGTAAACACGTGACAGTAAAGAACTGATGAAMTTGTGGCCCTCACACTCACACTCACTACCTCTACATTATTTATTTTAGCACACAACAGACACTCCTCACATGTTGATTTTTACTGAGGGAGGAAAACCGGAGGACCGGGAGAAAAACCCTCGTGGCAAGGGAGAGAACAACACATCATACAAACTCAAACTCACATATGGTCCGTGCCCAGGAATCGAACTGTTACGGTAAGATTTTTGTTCGTACTTCGTGTTTCACCGAATGTCGGGGTGGACTAGCTTCGGTAGTAGCGACTCGAATTGCAGGGCCCGTAATCTGAACTTGTACCCTACGAGACGGCACGAGACTTGGATACAGAGCACGGAGTAATTTCTGGTTTAAATCTTGCTTTAATCTTGTAACATCAAGCTAGCACTCGCTAGTTGGTCTCTTGACTAGCATGAGTCAAGCTCAATGCTAGGAGAGTGGTCTCTAAATCTCTCAATGCGTTGTAGCTCTATTTATGTGATTACAACTCCTTTGTTTATAGGTCATATTACATAATTGATTGCTAGAACTATAACGCGTAAAACTCAAAAACCAATCAATTTGATAATAGCAAAAATGTCATAAGATGAGGTAACATACGCAGGAGATTATTGGCTGTAACTAGAAAGTTAAGTAA